GGCCTTGGCAGACCTGCAACCCCGTAGCGACGGGCTCCAGAAATTGGTGTCGCTTTCAGAAGGAAGCGGCTGGGGCATAGGCACCAGGCAGACACGCTTTTAGAAATGCCTGACGTCCCCTTTGCCAGTGGTTTGTTGTTACTGCTTATGTCTGCTGTCTTTGCTTGGCTGTGTTTTAACACCTCATATAATCACCTTTCACCCTGTACACATCAGAAGGAAACCGAGCAGAGCACCGATGCTCCCCCACAGTTACTGAGTAGCCAGAACCTGCAGTTTCACCTCTTAAATGGTGGTGTGCACACGCCATCCCGCCTATGCAGGAGCGTGCCTTTCACGGCCAGTTGAGCTCAGAGCTTCCAGTCCAGCTCCGACTCAGTGTCTGCTAAATTGAAAGGCAGCTGTCGGTAAGACAAGTCAGATATAGAGGAGACAAAGCCAGGTAAGGGACTATAAAACTGTCACAGTGGGAAATTAAATTTGCTTACTGCAGTAACGACATCTTTTTTTCTCCAAAGATCCTGTTTCAGCTGGGGGTAGGCTTTAGGATGCAGGATGTGGTGAGCCTGCTTCCTCCTGAGAGGATGGGCCATGCTTTGTCCCTAGATGAAGAATGTTATTGTGGTCTGTAACAAAGGATTCATTTGTGCCTTGACTAGAACCTGTGGAGCCCACTAAGGCCATTCTGCAGAACTAGCAAGTAAAAACCCGGCAAAGGAGGGACTGTGTGGCAAACAGAAGAAAAGCTGAGTCCTGCTGGAAAGGCAATGATGCACGAGGGCACCTCCCCCCTGCACATGAAGTACCTTCCAGCCAGTGAACGGTTATTGCCGAAAGCCAAATCATTCTTGCTAGCCACTCAGCTTGGTATTTCCGTCCCTGTTCTAGGCTATCAATCACCGGTGGTGTTTCCAAGATACCAGCAGCGCTTGTCCTCTGCTGCCTCCCGAAACAACTCCTCCCTGGCCTGGGCTGCAACCACTCTGTAACTTTTAAAATTTGATTTATTTGTAGGTCTCTTGGTGTGAATCTTCAGGCTGTGCTTCATGTTTCCCAGGTGAGGAAGAATTGTCACTGCCGTTGTCCCCCATGAACAGCAGCGGCTACGTTGTTCTGCACAGCGGAGATAAAAGCGTCCCCTGTGGGGGCTGAGGGCCCTGTAGTCCCGAGTTAGCCCGACAATCTGCGGGTGCAGCCCCTTCGCTCTCTTGCTTTGCCTCTCTCTTGTAAACAGGAGGCAGCGAGGACTTGCTTCCTCCAGATGTTTTTGGTCTTTTGGCTACCGTAATAGCCCAGCACGATTCCTACTGAATGAAATAATGATTTCTCCTGTTAAAATCCTGGCATCCCTTTTTCTTCTTCTCCCCGCCCCCAGATTGTTGCTCGGCAGATGATTGCACAGGGGGTGCCAGGTGCTATTGTAAATGTCTCCAGCCAGGCATCTCAGCGTGCTCTGCGGGATCACGCTGTTTACTGTAAGTATGTGTAGCTTTAGCAGTGCCCCTTGCACTTTTTACTAGCTGGAGGCCCACAGCCACCAAGCTGCTGCCTGCCAGTTCTGGGCAGTGAAACACTTCTGTGTGCTCCAGACCAAGTGCTTCGCAATTAAATGCCTCCTGTTTTTCCCTTTTCTTGAAGGTTCCACAAAGAGTGCTTTGGATATGCTGAGCAAGGTAATGGCAATGGAACTGGGACCCCACAAGGTAGGACTCTTTCTGAGAGAAAGAAAAGTGTGAAAGCTGAGCTTGAGCATGTCTTCCCGGAGCAGTCTGGTTGGATTGTTTGTTGCTCTTGGCCCTAGATTAGGGTGAACACCGTGAACCCCACAGTGGTTATGACCGACATGGGGAGAATTAACTGGAGTGACCCTCAGAAATCTGCTGCCATGATTGATCGGATTCCACTGGGAAAGTTTGCAGGTCAGTGTATAGGTTTGTTGCCAGGCTGGGCTCTTGTTGTATACAAGCCTTCCCTCTAATTGACATCAGCCATAGGTACCTCGCTGCTTGTGTGGGCAAAGTCACAGCTCCGCTGAATGGCTGTGGCTGAGTTCCTGAAGCATTTGATGAGTACAGGTCAAGAATCAGCCTTATCTCCCCTTCTCCTCTCACTACAAGTGAAATGCACTTACTCTTGTCCATAAACATGACTGGGAGGGGAGCACAGGCACTTGCTGTGCACTATCATTTGGTCACAACAAGGACTTTGTGATGTCCAGCTCTCAGCCACACTGCCCTGTATACCGCGTCAAGCACGGTCTGGGGGCAGAGATTCTATTTCCCTGCTCCAGCTGCATGTAGAGGTCAAAGGCACCTTCTGGGGTGCTTGTTTTTCTAGTACAATTTGAGGGGTGCATTGGATGCTCTCTGTGTTTGATTCCAGAGGTGGATGATGTGGTGAACAGCATTCTCTTCCTG